TAATTTTGAAATATAATTACAAAAATTACATTTCAATGAAGCTGGTATTATTATTATTATTACTATTAGATGTAGATGTAACCATCTTGTTAAATAAGAAACACAGAGCCAATGCAGAGATGAAAGCCCAAGAGGTCAGAGCAATAGCTAAGAGTTAAAAACCTTACCCTTCACTGCCGCTGCTGTCCTCCTCAGCAAGAGAGATACATCCTGTGTGTTTGTCCTTTTTATTGACTTTCTATTCTGCCTTCTCATTGGTTGTAAACCCAACCACATGACCTCCTAATCACTGCCCATCTATACAGACCTCCAGGTCTTCTATGGTTGGTATTGAGATTAAAGGCGTGTGTCTTCATGCTGGCTGTATCCTTGAACACAGAGATCTGCCTAGCTCTGCCTCCCAAGTGTTGGGATTAAAGGCGTACACCACCACCGCTGACACCCAGCTTCTGCGATGGCTTGCTATTAGCTCTGACCCCCAGGCAACTTTATTTATTAACATACAAATAAAATCACATTTCAGTACAAATAAAATATCACCATAATTACTGGTTTTTGTTTCGTTTTTGGTTTTGGTTTTTTAAATACAAGGTCTCTTTACATAGGCCTGGTTGTCCTGGAATACACTATGTAGCTAAGCTGGCCTCAAACTCAGAGATTTGCCTACCTCTGCATCCTGAGTGCTGGGATTCAAGGTGTGCACCACCATGCCCAGCCTAGAAGCTGGTATTTAAAAATTAAGGAGCCTGGGTGGTTTTGTTTTTTTAAATACAAGGTCTCTTTACATAGGCCTGGTTGTCCTGGAATACACTATGTAGCTAAACTGGCCTCAAACTCAGAGATTTGCCTACCTCTGCATCCTGAGTGCTGGGATTCAAGGTGTGCACCACCATGCCCAGCCTAGAAGCTGGTATTTAAAAATTAAGGAGCCTGGGGATGCTCAGCGGTAGACCACTTGCTTAGCCCACACAAGGCCTTATATTCAATCCCCAACACAGCCAAAACCTTTAAAAATTCTTACATACATCTATACATACACACAACTCAGGAAGCTAGGAATGGTAGTTCACACCTGTAATCTCAGAATGCCTGTAATACTAAAACTAGGGAAGCTAAAGTCAGCCTGGACTACAAAGTGTGTTATGGCTGCAGCAAGGTTTAGGGTAGCCAGAACTGGAGCACAAGCAAGCAGTAACACTAAGTCGTGTAATAGTACCATCATAGTAGGGGGACTGGGAACACACACTAGGGCAGACTTGATTGCTGTCACTTTCTCTGGAAGGTTAACTACAGATACAAAGAGAAAAATGAACCATGCCTGATCAGAAATGGCCACAACTGGACCTAAAAGTCCTACATGTTACTAAAGAAAATATTGAAGAGAGAAACCTTTTATTTCCCCACAAATGCCCCCTTATCTTTTATTTATAGACCCTGTAGCTGGACGTGTTTAAACACGTTTCTGTTTAAGGTTCTTACGCAGTGTGGAGAGGAGCACGTATATAAAGGCAGAGGGTGTATAAAGAGGAGGGTCGTTACTCTCCTTCCACCTTGTTTTGAAGTAGCATCTCTTTTCCTGTCTTTGTCTCTGATCTCACTTTAGGATGACAAGGACTAAAGATATATACCACTGCATCCAGCTTCGGACATGGGTTCTGTTAAGGCAGTGGTTCTCAACCTGATGGCTGTGACCCTTTGGGTAAAATGACCCTTCACAGGGGTTACATATCAGATATCCTGCATAGCAGATAATTACATTGCAATTCATAACAGAATCAAAATTATGAAGTAGCAACAAAGTAATGTAATGGTTGGGTGTCAGCACAACATGAAGAACTGTATGAAAGGTTTGCAGCATCAGGAAGGTTAAGACACTGCTCTCAGGGAACAAACTCAGGCTGTTGTTGCTAGGCTTTTAGCAGCCAAGTCATTTACCCAGCTCCTAGCTTTGAGATGGGCTCTCACACTGCACTGAAGGCCAGTCTGGCCTCAAACCTGAGGCAATCCTCCTGCCTCAACCTCCTCACTGGGATTATGGGCCTGAGCATGGCCTTTGAACTCCTGAGTGCTCAAATTACAGGGTTGTGCACCCTCAGACCTGGACAAATATTCGTATTTTTAAAAACAAGTTCTAGTCAAAAGAAAATCCTAAAGAAATACTCAAAAGTATTCACCTCAGTAAATTAAGAAGTGACATACAAGCCGGGCAGTGGTGGCGCACACCTTTAATCCCAGCACTCGGGAGGCAGGTGGATCTCTGTGAGTTCGAGGCCAGCCTGGGCTACAGAGTGAGTTCCAGGAAAGGCGCAAAGCTACACAGAGAAAACCTGTCTTGAAAAACCAAAACAAAAAACAAAAAAAAACCTGACATACACATTCTTGAGTAACCAACTATTAATTATCAACACATCTGAATTGTATAGAACTTATAACCTACAGTAAGTCAATGTCATTTCATTCTATTGGTTTTTATGATACACACCAGTAGAAAATTCCCCCAAGCAACTCTTATAAAGACTTAGGCTGTGATCTTATTTTGCTATAATGAAACTCAAGGACATTTCAGTTTGGGTTTCTTGATTTAGAAAATACAAGTTTTTACTTACAAATCTTTAAGTTACCTTTCAGCACTGACGTTCCATGAAGTATACTGTACACATTCATATAGTAAACACAGCACTGTCTACAGAGTATAGCTAAAAAGACCTAGATTCAAATCCCCTTTGATTTCTATGAGTCTCTTGACTGGCATTGGGCAACTGTCTACCCTTACAGACTTCTTTTCCTTATTGCTAGCTGCCCATTACCAGGAGAGAATAAGAGAACATAAATAATGTATAAAAGTGGCTACCATGGCAAGCTCTCAGTAAATAACTTGCTACAACTTATCAACAAGCTTTCCCCCTTGGCAATTTTCTAATCTAATACTTTTTTGACTGTTTCTAAAAAAAAAAAAATTTCAATGAGTAGACAAGAATGTATATTGTGCCGGGCTGTGGTGGCGCACACCTTTAATCCCAGCACTCGGGAGGCAGAGGCAGGCGGATCTCCATGAGTTTGAGGCCAGCCTGGGCTACAAAGTGAGTTCCAGGAAAGACACAAAACTACACAGAGAAACCCTGTCTCGAAACCCCCCCCCCCTCCAAAAAAGAAAGTATATTGTAACCAATCAGCAGGTTAATTTCATTCAAATATATTCACCACTACTTTGTAAGACTATAGGCAGGATAGCAATTTAGAACTGGCAAACACTGTATCCAATGATTACAGGTTTTTACAAATGGAGGTACCTTGTGTACTCCACTTGTACTGAAAGAGCTTTGTGAAATGTGCAGAACATAGTGTACTCAGCATGTCCATAACCAAATACAGCATTAGCTCCCTGTCTTAAATAGGGTTTCTATTGCTATGATGAAACACCATGACCAAAGCAACTTAGGGAGGAAAGGGTTTATCATCAAAAGCAGTGAGGACAGGAATTCCCACAGGGCAGAAACCTGGAGGCAGGAGCTGATGCAGAGGCCATGGAGGGGTGCTGCTTACTGGTTTGCTCCCCATGGCTTGCTCAGACTGCTTTCTTATAGAATCCAGGACCACCAGCCCAGGGATGACACCACTCACAATGGGCTGGGCCCTCCTGCATCAATCACTAATTAAGAATATGCCCTACAGGCTTGCCTATAGCCCTATCTTATGAAGACATTTTCTCAACGAGGCTTCCTCCTCTCAGATGACTGTAGTTTGTGTGAAGTTGGCACAAAACTATTCTACACACCCCCCACCCCATCAAAAGAGTCCCTGTCCTTTTGCTAGGGGACATTAAAGAAATCTTTTCGGTTAATATTTCCACTTTTTTACCACCCAAATCAAGGTTCTCTTTCTTTTTTGGAGGGGAGGGGGTAGAGACAGGATTGTTCTGTGTAGTCCTGGTTGTCCTAGAACTCCCTGGCTCTGTAGACCAGGCTGGCCTCGAACTCAAAGAGATCCGCCTGGCTCTGCCTCCTGAGTGCTGGGATTAAAGGCGTGCGCCACCACCACTCTTGGTTGAATCTTGGTTTTCTTGCCAGATAGTTTTTTAGGGCTAACTACCAACATGTTTGATTTCTACTTTCTGCTTAGCAAAATTAATAGAAGACAAATTTCAAACTATTTTTCAATTAAGGAAAATACGACAACACAACAGTCAGAGATTTACAACACGTACATTATCACAAAGCAAAACAGCCCAACAGAAGCCTCCAATGGATAAAAAGCAACCAAAGAATCATTATCACTCTGCACATCGTGTCAAATACAACAGTTGCACAGCTCAGATCTGTCAACCTGGGCACTTGCTCCTACCAAAAGGAATCTTCTAACAAAATTACATTTACTGCACATCTAAGACGGTGCAGAAAGCAGCATCTGGTCAGGTGCAGTGGCACCTTGGAAGGAAGAGAGGAGTTCAAAGTCATCCTCCCCTAAACAGGGAGCTCAACGCCAGCCTGGGCTACAAGAGATCCTGTCTCAAAGGAAAAATAAAATAAAATGAAAAAAAAAAAAAAAAGTAATCACTTCTGCTGTGAACTTATTCTAACTTGCTTAAATAAATAAATAAATAAGTAAATAAGTAAATAAATAAATAAATAAATAAATAAATAATAAAACCTCTTTGCCTTAAGTTTCAAAAAACTTTTTTTAAGAAAGTCATCTTATTACTGGTCCTATTTCCACGGGAAAATTTAACTTCAGCTAATCCCTATGTCCCCACCCAGGTACCAGCCAATGCCTCCAGGGCCCTCTAGAAAGTGAGTCTTCCAGATCTGACTGTGTCACTTAGGTGGAAAGATCGTTCTCTTAAATACGAAATGCAGTGATGAACCTAGAGTTTACACGAACGGTAAGGCCAAATCACCGCCTGCCTGCTCGCTGCAACATCAATTGGCTCTAAGTTCCTCGGAGTTACAGGGGTGCTGCCACGTCCCCGAGTCACCTCAGGCGAGCAGAGGCGATCCACATACCTGGAGGCAGCTGCAAATTAGCAGGCAGCTGGATCGTCGTGGTGCCGGGAGTTTTCACGGTGACTATCTGAGGAGCGGGCAGCCTCGGGCCGCCGAGTTTAGGAAGAGCGGTGACAGGAACCACTTTGGTGACTACAGTCCCCACTGGGGATGGCAGGGGCTGGGGCGCCACGGACTCCACGCAGACACTGACAGGAGCCTTAGTCACAGGGCCCAGGGCCACCGGGGTGCTCTCCACCCGCACCGGCAGCGCGGCGGCGGGGGCCATGGTCACGGCCCCAGAGGCGCTGGCGACCCCCGGAGCAGCGGCGCCCGCCGGCTCCGTCAGGCCCGCCGGCATCCCCTCGGGGACTCAGCGGCAGCGGCGCTGCCCTTCCCGGAGCTGAGGCGAGGCGAGCCGGGGCAGGCGGCGGCGGCGGCCGACTCGGGTGCAGTCCGGGCGCCGCAGCATCCCGGGGCACACACGCGCGCTCCGGGGCCCGGCGGCCGGCGACACCGCCCGGCACTCCCTCGGCGGCGCCCACACGTGCGCGCCTGAGCCCCGGTCGGTCCCGCCGCAGAAGCGCCCGGACCGGCAGCTCCCTCGGGCCGTCACTTCAGTTCCCACCCTCGGGGAGCTCGAACTCTTGCGCTTCCCCGCCAGAAATTTCAAAACCCTACAGACCCGCGGCGTCCGGCGGCGACCCACACGCGCTCCGCAGCGCCAGCGGCGCGCCGCGGCCAGCCATGTTTATATAGCCACGCGGAGGCCCGTGCGCACGCGCCCCGGCGGCCCCCGCCGCCCGGGGCTTCCCTGGCGTCCGGCCTTCTGATTGGCTAGCGGGAGGACTCGCGCTCGTGACGTCACGAGGCCCCGCTCCGGAGTGGCTCGGGATCGTCCTCCGCACGCCCAGCGCTCCGGCGCAGGTTCCCGGGAAGTTATCACGTGCGGGGGGCGAGCGGCGCCGGAGAGCTGCGGCAGGGCGCGCCTCCGCCGGCTGGCCCCGGCTGTCGCCCCGGAGAGCCTGCACCCGCCGTCCCTGGGACGCTACGATTTAGGAGAGAATGCGGAACACTGATTCCGGAGAAGGCAGAGTTCAGTAACTCATCCCGCTTCGGGTTTCTCCGGTTTCTGGTTTTTTGGTTTTTTTTTCCGGCGTCACTGAAAAGCCTTGCAAAAAATTTTCATTACCGTTGACATTGTGAAAATCAGAAGAGTGTATAATTTTATCGTCTTTAAAAAAATGTATCTTTGTGAGATATTATTTTAGACTTGAAATACCTAAAACATAAACTGGAAAACAATTTTTAGTCCTCCTTACCGGTTTATACGTCTCTGTCCACTATTAGCGTATTTGTTCATTTGTTGGTGTTTTTGTTTTAGACGGAGCCTCGATATCTAGCCCTGGCTATCTAGCCCTGGCTGGCCGGGGACGCAGAGAGCGGCTTACCTCTGCCTCCTGAGTGCTAGGATTGAAGGCTTGCACCTCCTCCACCCCTGGAATTTGTTTTGTTAGATAGGATCTCACACTGTAGTTCAGAGTGGTCTCGAACTCACTATGTGAGCATTCTGTCCTTGAAAGTGTAGTAATCCTTCAGTCTCAGCTTCCTAAATGCTGACCATGTCCTAGTTTATTTACATTGTTTACGTGTCATCTTCTGGGAAGTTAGGACAGGTCTTCTGGTTCATCTTCAAATTCCAGCTCTAAGATCTTAAGTGCAGTACTGAAGCGTGCTCAGGGCAATAGTCCCTTGCAAACATTCTGCGTGATCTAGCCAGAGAAGACGCCTTTACTGCATACCTATCATGAGATCGTTTTGTAGAGAATTACACTATACTACGGAAATTTTGCAGGTATGCAGGTGCTTGGCTCAAAGAGCCTTTTTCCCAAAATATATATGTTGAGAGTGTAAGTATTAGGAAATTGGGCCTCTGGGAGATGATTAATTCATGAAGCTCTTATAAAAGAGACCCCACCCCCTGCAAAAATACCAAGTATGTGAAGTATTTCTGGTAACGTGATTTAATCGTCCTCCAGTTACGCATGCATGACACAGCACTTTGTAACCTGTAAATATGCAGGTAGAACTTGTTGCAGTGAGGTGTGGGGGTGAACACCGAGAATCTCAGCCCTGGGAAGATTCAAGCAGAAAGATTGGGAGTTCAAATCAGTCTTGGCTACATGCTCTGTGTCCCAGCAGTCTTGACTATACCAGCAAGTTCCAAGCCAGCCAGGGCTACATAGCAACACCCTCTCTTAGAAAAAAATGTAAATATTAAACACTAAAATAATCAGTGCTGGAGACGGCTTGGTGGTAAGCACACCTACTGCTCTTTCAGAGAACCTGAGTTCAATTCCCAGCACCCACATCAGGTAGCTCACAACATCTGTAACTCCAGCTCCAGGGATCTCTAACACCTCAATCCTCTGTGGACACCTGCACTCATATGCACACACCCACACAGAGACACATACATGTAATTAAAAATAAAGTAAATTTAAAAAATAAAATAATCAGGCAAACTTGACAGTGTGTACCTTTAACCCCAGCACTGGAAAGGCTGAGACAAGCAGTGGATCTCTGTGAGTTCAAGGCCAACATGGTCTACACAGTAAGTTCCAAGTCAGCCAGGGCTACATAGTGAGACCCAGTCTCAAAATAATAAAATAATAATCAAGCAAAGCACTCATGGGAACCTGCAGGCAGAGGATTGTAGTAAGTTTGAGGCCAGCCTGGGCTATAGTATGAGACACTGTCTTGCCTGCCAAAATTAAAATAAACAAATTATATATACTCAGAGTTCTGAGAGAATTCCTTTGCCTCTCCTGCCGTGCACAGTAAGGATACGATAAAGAGATGACCATCTAGGAAGACATCCTTTACCAGATAACCAACTCCCCCACCAATCACAGCTGGAGCTTATGGAGGCATGTTCTCAAATGAGGCTCCTTCCTTTCAGATAACTCCAGCCTGTTCAAGTTGACAGAAAACCAGCCAGTACAGTAATTAAAATACAATCTCAAAAAAAAAAAAAAAAAAAAGGCATGGTTTACAAAGTATTCAGGGCCTGTGTTTGTGGGTGTGGCTCTTCCCTAGCCCAGCAAGAGGCGGAGGCTATCACCAAAGGTTAAAAAAATAATAAGAAGGTCAAGTGTGGTGGCTATGCTGGAACAGACAAAAAAAAAAAAAACAAGGTTAACGCATCTCAGCTTTTGATAAACAGAACTAAACTTTAAATAGCTTCCACTATTTTTGTTTTGCTTGAATGTTGTTTGTCTCTATTCAATCCGTCCTCTTAACAAGTAATTGTTGTATACCATTTATGCCCAAGGTCTTCTGCCACAGACAGTGTAGGATATATGATGAATCAACATTGGCATCACCCAGACTGGTTTGAATCTCTGTTTTTTGTATAAATTCCTCAGCCCATTGTGGGTAGTACCATCCCTAGGCTGGTGGTCCTGAGTTCTATAAAAAAGCAGGCCGAGCAATAAGCAGCACCCCTCCATGGCCTCTGCATCAGCTCCTGCCTCCACATTCCTGCCCTGCTTGAGTGCCTAGCCTACTTCCTTTGATGATGAACAGTGATAGGGAAGTGTAAGTCAAATAAACACTTTCCTCCTCAACTTGCTTTTTGGTCATGGTGTTTCATTGCAGCAATAGAAACACTAAGACAGTTACATTCCCCACTTCCCTTTCCTCCCTCCAAACCCTCCCATGTACCCCTTCCCATCCTTTTTCAAATTCATATTCTCCTTTTCATCAGTTGTTATTGCATGCATAGATGTATTTGTGTACACACATATATCCCCATATATACCATGTTCAATCCATATAGTGTTACTTGTAGGTGTGTTTTCAGAGCTGTTTTGCACTAGACAACGAATCAGTGTGCTCTTCCCTGGGGAGGGCCACCCCTCCAGTTCCCAGTTTTATTCAGTTGCCTGTAGTTCTTTGTCTAGGCTTGAGGCCTCATGGGCTTTTCCCTGTCCACATTAGCATGTCCATTGGTGTCATCCTTCTTCCGCTCACATTTGAGCAATCATGGTGAGACAATGGATGTAGCTTCTGATGCTGCTGGGAGACACAATCTCAAAACAAAGGTCCTGATCCTCTGACTCTTGCAATGCTCCCTGAGCCCTGCGTACAAAAGTGATTTGTAGATGTACCCATCTGGACCAGGCTCAATAACTGCATTCCTGTTGTTTCTGGTTTTCTGTTGCGGTCTCCAACTATTGCAAAGAGAGGTTTCCTTGAAGAGGGGTGAGGACTACCTTTATCTGTATATATAAGGATAAATGTCTGTAGATTGTTGTTATGGATTATGCTGCTTTAGTAAATTAGTGGGTGTATGTAGTTGGAAGGTTTCTCCGGTCCTACCCGGCCCTGTGGTCCTGCATCCATTTATAAAATCATCACTCAGAGGCTTAATATTATTTATAAACTGTATAGTCTATGGCAGACCTCTTGCTAGCTTATATCTTAAATTAACCCATTTCTATTAATCTATGTTTTGTCACATCTTCCGTGGCTTACAGGTCTGCTGGCACGTTGTTCCTTGGGCAACAGGCTGACATCTCTCTCCTGACAGTGCGGGCATCTCCCCAGACTCCGTCTTTCTCCTTCCTGTCTCTCTCCTTGGATTTCCCACCTGCCTCTAAGCTGCCTTGCCGTAGGCTAAAGCAGCTTATTTATTAACCAGTGGGAACAGCATATATTCACAGTGTACAGAAAGACATCCCCCAGCAGTTGTAGGTTCTCCTCCAGTAACCATGATTCCACTAGCACTGAGTAGTTAGATTTCCAGGAATAGTTTCCCTCTCATTGAGTAGATCTTAAGAGAGCTATTGGTTACTGCCAAGTTTTTTTTTCTTTGAGCTTTCCATACACTGTTTTTGTGATGTATACTCAGTGTTTTGACTGTCATGTGCCATGGGGATTTTCTTTCCTGGTCTTGTCTGTTTGGTGTTCTCTGTGCTTCTTGAATCTGTATGGTCATGTCTTTCCTTAGTTTGGGGAGTTTTTTTTTTTTCTGTGATCTTATTGAAGATTGGTCTGTGCCAGTGACTTGGGATTTTTCTCCCTCTATGCCTGTAATTCAAAGGTTTGTTTTTTGTTTTTGTTTTATTTTGTTTTTCATTTCCTATGTCTTTCTTTCCTGTGTATTTTAAATTTTTTCATATTTATTACTTATTTGGTCTAAATCCTCTATTTTATCTTTGAAACCTGATATTCTGGCTTCTGTTTGGTTCATTTTACGTGGAAGGCTTTCCTTAGAATGTCTAGTTGGGCTATTGAGTGTTTCATCTCTATCTTTATTTCAGCTTGAGTCCTCTTCAATGTCTACATCTCTTTATTGAATTCTATCCTCAAAACCTGAATTGTCTTGATCATTTCCGTCAGCCTTGTCTTCGTGTTTTCTTGGGCATGTTTATTCTCCTTAAACTCTTTCTACTTGATTTTACTGAGCTGTTTCTGCCCCCTTTCAACTCCTTGTATTCTCTGAGAAGGTTTATGACTGTTCTTTTAATTTCTTTGTCTTGAAGTTCATCTAGGTAATTCTCACAAGGAAATATTTCTTTAGGACTGGTAGATTTTGGGGGAAAGATACTGGCTTGATCTTTCATATTGTTGGTTTTACTGTGATGAGATCTGAGCATGTGGACTTCCTTTGTTAGTTTTAAGTTTGTTATGGATAGAGTATCGTCGGGGAGAAAAAAGATATGGGGGCAGGTTGGGCCTGTCTTGAGTGGAATGAAGTCA